CTGTAAAAACAGGGCCCAATATACAGTATAGTTATTATATGCATTATGGGATTGAATGATAATGTCCACTATGGTTTCGGACACCACAAATAGTGTACTATATAAGGGTGTGATTTCAGACACAGCTAAGAAGTCAGGGCAGGATATATTGAAGAGAAAAAAATGCCAAAATAGAATTTTGCTTATCACAGGCCTGCAAAGCCACATTTGAAAGCTTGGTTTATAGTGCTTGCAATTCAGGCTTTTGCATGATTATTATGCACAATCACTTTTATATGTCGGTGCTGTTTATAGTGCAGTGGCACTATAATGTTTTTTAATGTTTGATCTCCTCTATAGTGCTTTCTTTGAAATACAATATTCTGTGTAGAAATAAAATGGGTCAGATGCACAGTGTGGTCTGCACCAAATAACACACATGAATCGTGCCGACTCAAATGTAAACATGTTACTGACACAGCATCATCATGGTTCTTTTTTTTTTTTTTTTTTTTTTTTTTTGGGGGGGGGGGGGGTGTGTTGATATAGTGTAAGATCTTAGCGAGTGATTGCGTTGTGTTGTTTTTTTTTTTTTTTTTTTTTTTTTTTTGTTTGTTGGGGGGGGGGGGGGGGGGTGCGCTTTTGAAAGCATACTGCCCAGTGACAGCTTTTGTACCTTTTTTTCTGAGTGTAAAGCTAACATATTCATACTAATAGTGACGAATTTGATTCAATTTCACAGAGACTGTATTTAACACTTTAATATTGCCTGTTAAAATTGTAAAAATATTGGTTGTTTTAAATTCTACCATACAAAAACTGGTAACACTTTATTTCAATAGTCCACTTTAGACATTCTATTAACAGTAAGTAACTTTGCAACTACATGTCAACTAGCAGTTAGTAGAGTATTAATAGACTGTCTGCTTGATATCTTCTAACACTTTCTTTGTCAACTTATTCTACTAACCCTAAACCTACCCTAACAGTCTACTCTGAGAGTTAGTAGACATGTAGTTGCAAAGTTACATAATAGAATGTCTAAAGTGGACTATCGAAATAAAGTGTAACCCAAAAACTCTCTTTTCTTCAAATCTAATCTGGATTTCTCAAGTTATCTCTAGCTACATGGCAAAATAGTTATACTCTGTATGAGGGATGGTAATGGTATGACATACCAACAACATATCTACAACTAATATCCTTTATCAATATCCTAACAAACAGAATAGTCTTAAATAATATATCTTATTATCGGCCAGAATATTTTATGTTATGCAAACAGGTTAATCTAGCACACATAGCGATTCCACTGGCTTAAATGCCTTTTAACGTGAAAAAAAATAAAATAAAATAAACTTTGCACTATAAAGTCATAAATTTCTTTGTGTTATGTTACTAATAATGGTAAATAAACTGTGCTATAGATTGTAAAATTAATTACTTCTTGTACTTCAGCTACTCAACATATTAGCTATGCCCTAGGTCCTAGTGCGGAGTCTGCAGACCCATTTGTTCATGACACCAGGTCATGGGTTTGATTCCCAGGGAATGCATTAAAATGAAAAAAATAATAGATTGAATTAAAAGTGTCTACACAAATGCATAAAGGCACATACTGAAAATAAAATGAGGGAAATCAACAAGAGCTTGTGTTATATTTTTCTATGTAATGTTTTAGATCATGCATACTTGTTTCTCTGAAAGACACAGTACAGTTCCTCGATGTTTTCACACAGGTGCTCTACTCTGACGCCCCACTGCACACATGTCCTTCATTCTTGGTTGAACTAATCCTTTAAGTTTGTTAAAACATATACAAATGCAAATGAAGGCTTAGAACTGCTTTGCATTACAGCTTAGGCAATTTCACAGAAAAAGATTACTCCAAAGCACCACCTAGCGTCAAACCAGTGCTAATAATGGTAGAATCGATTTGCATACCCTGTAAAAATTATGATATTGTGGCAAGTAAATATTAACCTCTAGCACTTTCACAAAGGTTCCATGACCAATTTACATACAAATGTCTATGAATACTAATGAGTTCACATTGATATTTAGGACAAAAGTTATTTGGTTGTAACTTATTTATTTAATTATTTGTTGGTTTGTTTATTTTCTTTTTTTCTTTTTCAGGTGAGTGTATTTGGGTTTGGAGCAGATAAAAATGGAAACTGGCATCATTACTTTGAACAAAATAAGCATCATCATAATGCTGGTAATCATGGAGGAAGCTATGAATATAGTATTGCACTTAAGCTTCATGAGAAAAAAAGAATTAATTTGTATAAAGGATGGTGACCATTGCAGTGAATTTCTCATGTATTAAGTATTTATAACATTATGTATGTTCAAGATATCATGTCATGAACAAAACAAAGGCTATGTACATTATGTGCAGTACTCAGAACCTCCTAAAACAATAAATTTTTCTCAAATTCATTTACAGACACACTGATCCAAAGTCATGTTCTTCCGTGAAACTGCTATCATTAACAGATTCTGAAATGTTGGAGCAGATATGTACTTTCAATACACAATTTAGCTGTTATCACTTTCTTCAAATTTCCTTTAGGATTAATTATACTACTGAAGTGTTTCATAAGAAAGAGCAGCAGTTATTTGAAGGAACTGATGGAGTCGAAACATATGAGGATTTTGGAGTATCCCTTGCACAACTGCTGATAGGTAGAAGGGTGAGAACAAGGCTACCGACGTCAGCTGAAATTTTAAAACCTCAGATCGTTACCAGCTCAGTGAAGCAGTTATTTGAGTCATGTCAAAGGAAACAGAAAGAAAACTAAAAGTTGGGGATAGTGTCATATTTTGGAAGGATGGGACTTGGGACCCAACTTGAGTTGTTACTGTAGCTGAGCAACCAAGGTCTTAAATTGTGGAAACATACAAGGGCATAGTTGTTTAAAAGGAACTGTAGGTAAGGCGACAGCAAGACAACCCCCAAAAAGGGAATGGTTTTGCAGTTTGTGGCCACAGACAATTGCGCTCTCCTTATCCTTCCTGATTTGTCTCTAGTTTTGGGTTTTGTTAGGGTCCTTGTCATTACTAAGTATTAGACAGTATCTGCAACCCAATAAGGTTGCACAGGTGATCCAATTCCTCAAGGAGGGCGCATCCATACATGGCGTTGCAAGGAGATTCAGGTGCATGTTGGAGACACCGAGAGACAAGGACTGTAAAAGGGTAACTGATGGAGTCGAAACATATGAGGATTTTGGAGTATCCCTTGCACAACTGCTGATAGGTAGAAGGGTGAGAACAAGGCTACCGACGTCAGCTGAAATTTTAAAACCTCAGATCGTTACCAGCTCAGTGAAGCAGTTATTTGAGTCATGTCAAAGGAAACAGAAAGAAAACTAAAAGTTGGGGATAGTGTCATATTTTGGAAGGATGGGACTTGGGACCCAACTTGAGTTGTTACTGTAGCTGAGCAACCAAGGTCTTAAATTGTGGAAACATACAAGGGCATAGTTGTTTAAAAGGAACTGTAGGTAAGGCGACAGCAAGACAACCCCCAAAAAGGGAATGGTTTTGCAGTTTGTGGCCACAGACAATTGCGCTCTCCTTATCCTTCCTGATTTGTCTCTAGTTTTGGGTTTTGTTTGGGTCCTTGTCATTACTAAGTATTAGACAGTATCTGCAACCCAATAAGGTTGCACAGGTGATCCAATTCCTCAAGGAGGGCGCATCCATACATGGCGTTGCAAGGAGATTCAGGTGCATGTTGGAGACACCGAGAGACAAGGACTGTAAAAGGGTGACAAGCAGCAGGACCGGTATCTACTCCTTTGTACAAAGAGGAACAGGAGGAGCACTACCAGATCCCTACAAAATGAGCTCCAGCAGGCTAGTGTGCATGTTTCTGACGAAACTGTCAGAAACAGACTCCATGAGGGTGGCATGAGGGTCTGACTTCCTGTAGTGGAACCTGGGCTCACAGCCCAGCACCAGGCAGCTCCACTGGTTTTTGCCAGAGAACACCAGTATTGGCAGGTCCGTCCTTGGTGCCCCGGTCTCATCACAGATGAGAGCAGGTTCACACTGAGCACATGTGACAAATGTGTAAGAGTCAGGAGATGCCATGGGGAGCGTTATGCTGTCTGCAACATCATCCAGCATGAGTGGTTTGGCGGTGGGTCAGTGACGGTCTGGAGAGAAATATCTTGAAGGTCAACGATACCCTTACTGCTGTTAGGTACCGGGATGAAATCCTCAGAGCCTCTGTCAGAGCTTACACTGGTGCATGACAAATCCCAGCCTCATGTGGGCAGAGTGTGCAGGCAGTTTCTGGATGACAAAGGCATTGATGCTATTAACTGGCCCTCATGTTCCCCAGACCTGAATCCAATTGAACCTCTGGGACACTATGTATAGGAGCATATGAAGCCGCCAAGTAGCACCACAGACTGTCCAGGAGCTCACTGATGCTCTGATCCAGGTCTGGCAGGGGATCCCACAGAACACCATTCACCATCATATCAGGAGCATGTCTAGATGTTGCCGAAGTGCATACAGACATGCAGAGTTGGATCAGTTTTATATATATATGTTTTTTGTTTTTTTTTCAGTGTAATTTTGAATCCAGGCCTTAATGGTTTGATAATTGTGGCTTTCATTGACCATTGTCACATAATTTTGTTCTCAACAAATTACACAATGTATATAAGTAAAGATTTTCAACTTGAATATTTTGTTAGTTGAGAACAAATTGAACAAAATGGGTTTGTAGGCTGTAATTATGATAATTCCTTTAAATGTATCATGACATTTCTCTGTGTTTGTACAGTATGTGATTTTAATTGTATTGAGCTGTAATGATATAATGTTAAAAAAAAATTCTACAACTTGAACATACAGATGTAAGTGACATATATAAGCTATGACTCAGATGCCACAGAGCCACTCACATATTAGGGTATATATAAGGTTTTAACCTGCTCAATATATTATAATGATTTTATGTATATTTGAGTTTTAATAGGTTTCCTCTACTATTTAAATGTATGTCTTTAAGTGACTCTGGGTCTGCCTGTCATTTGACTTATCACATGACAGGAAACAGGTGTAAGGCATTTCCGAACATCACACAAACCAGATGAGAGTCGTAAAAGCATCAACCATGGTCAGCCCAGGCGTACCTCTCTCCAATGAGTTCCTGCCTCGCTCTGCTTATCTTTACAAAGAAAACACGGAGATAATGATTTACCAAACCACCTCCGATGTCTACACAATACTAAGACAACAAGAACTGACCCCCTCCCATCTGGATTAATTTAAGCCACAGAAGGTCAGTAGGTAAGGTCAGTAGGTAAATAAGCATAAATAAACCATCTAATGAACCACGGAACAAAGAACCTGGTATCTAGACAGCGCGTCCCACACAGAATCGCGCGGACCTCATGACCGCTTAACACATAAATTGATAATCCCATCAACAAAAGAGACAATTTTATAGCCCCC